ATAAATAGATACCATTCTAATCACCAACTATGTTTATTAAATGCATGTTCTGTACAGCATTGTATTAAATAGAGAAATGAATTTCTCATAGTATAAAGAGAACTTCAAAGTTTGACATTTGCTGCAAGAAAGGAGATATTCAACTGGACTGGTTAAAACCAATACCACTAGACTTACAATATCTTCTAATAGCCAGTTCCCTCTCTATTTCGCTGTCACTCATAGTCAGTGGAAGCAAGTATGATGTGGAAGCAAGTGTGATACACCATAAAAAATTCAATTTTCTTTTTTTACCATACCCAAATTTATTAACTACCTATAGGAGGTTTAATATTTACTTTATATCTTATATATAAACACAGATATATGGTTAATAACTGGTAGTATGGAAACCTATTAGAATTAAATAAGCTTAAACAAAAAAAACTCCTATTTTTTATGGGGTATCACATTTGCTTCCACAATACACTTGCTTCCACCCAGCCGACTATAAGCGACAGGAAAATTGGAGGAGAACTGGCTCTTAGAATCTCGAGATACAGTTACAGGAAACATTTTTTCCAAGATCTATGAATACACTGGCAGTTCTGCTCTTATCTTTATATTACTTCAATATTATTCTAATAACCAATCTTAAGTACAAGCTACAGGTATTTAATGCTTCCAAATTTATAGAGAATTATATTACATGCAAGGTCCTTTGCAACCAGATCATACCAGTTTCCAAGCATTTATACACCTTTACTTTTATGATCCAGAATATATAGCAGATCTCAGACAGGTGGGACATCTGAGATTAGATACTATTGAACTGTTCTGTCTAACAAACATTTTTGTATGAGGTAAATCTTTATGTATATATATGTACAAGACTGTAAGAAAGCAATTGAATAGTATAGAAGCCAGTGGAGCAGAGGCACAGGTAGTTCTGAATCTACAATTGTGATTAGTTATAGAGACATATACAAACAGAAGAAGAGAGAATTTGCCTATAAGGGATAAAATTGCTATCATTACTCCAGATAAGTCTGGGGAGACTAGATTTTGAGATAGAGTCCTGACCAAGTATGCAGCAAATTTATAAAGTCCATTTAGTATTATTCACCTAAATCATGCAAGTTGTATAGCATTGTAGTATGTTTTGCTTTTTCCCTAAGGGAATAATAAAGTAAGTTGTTAAGAGATAACATTAAAGTAGATAGAACAAGATATTGTTATTTGGAAGGAGGTTGATCTTGGAAATTGGAATGTGAGAGAGTAATAGGTTATTGTTCACATTTGGGTTTGTTTTTCACTTGAATGTTTATATTGTCTTTCTGAAATACTACTGTATAATTAATTAAACAAGTCAGAATTTTTGATATAAACTATTAATTTCTATAGGTAATAACCAAAATTATATTACATTATGAAGGTCTTGAGTATGTTAATAAGAGATTGAATTGAATTACAATATTTCACCTGTTAGATTGACTGAGAAACACAATCCTCGAGGTCTCGAGGTGGTTCATACTAGTTATTATGTACTCCATACTTTTTTCCAAGCCAGTAAAAGAAGGAGAATTATAGACTTCATACTTGATAGCTGAAATACTATACTTACCTAACATCTGAGTAAAAATAATAAATTACAATAAGAAAGATTAGTATTGATATTATTTTCTACCAATTTTAAATTTGAATAACTTTTAAAAGTATTTAGCATTGCAAACTTTATTTCATCTAAAATCTGAATTTACAAGAAAGGTAGTAACCTTGAGACTTGAATCATCTCATTTTATATTATAAATACTAACTTTACTAACTCAGAAAAAAAAGTAATAAGATACACATTTCTGAACATATCAGAAGATATAGTAGAAAGCTTACAACCTGAAGACCTCATGCAATGATGCAGTAGATGTAAAAAAATAGTCAAACTGATGAACTTTGCTTTCAAGTATAATGGATCTGGATATAAGACCTGTGAGTTATGCAGAAATCATGGAACTAATAATCGGCAGCAAACCTACAATATGAATAATAGGCTATTAGAAGTAGAAGGACAATCAGAAGATAGAAATAGAATGAGAGTCAAAAAGGAAAAAGGGAGTAATTATGAAGAGTATTTGGATTTAGAATTACAAGAAGAGATAAATAAAGAGGTAAGTAAAAGAATTCTGAAAAATATGTGAAAATAGGTGTAAATATAGTTAAAATAAACTAAGGATAAACTTGGTAACAGTTGTAACGACCCTATAGTATAGAGCTATGGTAACCTACGTCTACGCCCATACATAAGGCCAAGAGGTTAGATGGTAGACGAGGCGGATATGCAGGCGCATATCCGAGAGATATCTGATGATGCGGAAATCTCTAAGAACAGAAGGTACTTAAGGAATAAGTGTACCTAAGTAGTGGTAATAACGTGACAATGTCTGCTCTGGCCTATGGATAGGTCAGAAGGTCCGGTGAGTTTACCCTACCCAAGGAAGTCACGTTACCCTACCATGAAGACTGGTTTCGTGTCACCATGGACATACTTACCCTACCTTTGGGACACTATTACCCTACCTTCCGTCGGAAATGTTCTCGGAGGAATTTCGGGAAATGTTAGGATTGTTTGTTACACAATGACGATCGACGGGCACTTGATTGCACTTTGATCGGAAGACTACGGGAGGAGCTATAGTGCTCCGAACAAGCTGTAACTTAGTAGAATTATTCCTAACTGGTACCTGCGGCCCCAGGGTTCGCCCCGGGCGTCATGGGCCAAAATTGGTGGAGTTGCCGTTATGCTAGTTAAATGGAATCTATGAAGACATGTCCATAACACTGTATGCGTTGTCGCCGTCCGTCCGACCGGAAGCTGTTTGCAGGATATATAAGGGGGCCAAGGTGAGAAGGTCAAGTACCTTCTCCAAAAGGAACGGAGTAAAACGGACCAAAGCTGACGGAGTTAGCGTGAGCTATCCGGAAGGGTCCCCAGAGTAGTCCCGGGTAGTGCCAGAGACATCTCGGAAGGTTTTACGCCAATCAAGCCTACACGGACCCCTTTGCTGTAGGCTCTTTGTGGGTTGTTTGAAGACTCTAATAGCATGACACTTATCACGGTGAGTGGTGTGCCGGGGGTAAGGGACCATGGGTAGCGCCTATGGGTCCCGCCGCGGACACAGCTCTCCGAGGGAGCGTCGTA